TATATATATATATATATATACATACCTTCTAAATTCCTTACCAGATAGTTCTATTGATTGTTCTTCTTCCAAGTTATATGTTAATTCTTTAGCCTGGTCTTTTATTTCTATTATCTTATCCTGGTTTTTTTGTTTGTTTGTTTGATTTGAGGTTGTCTATTGTTTTCTAGACATTTTGAAGTTGTTGTCTTTAATTGTTAATTACATATTGATTTGTTTCACCTAGTTTTATGTTTTACTATAACTGGAAGTGTGGAGCAGGTATACTTCTTTGGTTATTAACTCAGCTGTACTGGGTCACTCTCCAGCTCTGGCTTGGTGGAATCACGGGTGGGGATGTGGGAACAGGTCTCTGCTCACTGTGAAAAGGATTTGAGGTTGGGACAAGCAGGTGTTGTTCACTGTCTGTCACTGATCCTGTGGTGCCAGAGCTATTGGTGTTACCTGTGTATTGGATGAGGTGTTCAGTGTAGTAGCTACAGTTGACTAGTGGGAGGTTTCATATGTTTCTTGTATTGGATGAGGCAGGGGAGAAAAGAAAAAAGAAAAAAAGAACACGAGAAGTGAACCCCAGAACAGAAAAGCGGAAGGAGCACTCCACATTTGGCACAAGATACTTCAGTCAGCAATACAGGCACAGGAAGCACATCCTGAGTCCTCCTGGGGCCATCTGCCAGTGATGATGCTCTGCTGTCAATCAAAGCCCTGCAGTGTAAACCCAATATATGCCCAAGGGACAAAGGGCCACCTCTTTCTGCGTGGACTGACAGGTGGCAAAATTCCAGTTCACAGATCCACTCTGTGCAAAAAAGGGTTGTGAAGAGTTGGACCTGAGTCTACTGCCGTGTATCCACTCTGGGGCTCTACTTACTGGGAGAGAGTTTGTCCTCCCTTCCCCCCATTCCCTTACTACTCCGCAGTAGCTCAAGACAAGGGGGATCTTGATCCATCCCAGTAAGATCTTTGTTCCCAGATGAAGCCCCAGATCACCTCAAAAAACTCCTGGTGTGGCTATTCTGAATCTCCAGTTCCTGTGGGTTCCATGATGTATTTTTAATTCTTCCTTCTTCCTTATCTCCTCCTTGACCTCCTTTGCATTACTAATGACTCCTTTCCATCTCAGCTGGCTGGGCAGGTTTGATAATTTTTCCCAGTTGCTTAACCTGCTCTCCTTCTGCTACCTTCACTGGATCTAATACTTTATCTTATCCTTAGTTGCTCCCAAATCCATTGTCATTATTTGTATCTACTTTACCTAGTTAGTCAGAAACTCAGGTGATAGAGGGACTAATCCTTCAGACTAGTGATGCCATCTTCCAAGGCCTCAAATAAGTATTTTAGAAAGCACTAAGTTGTTGAAGGAAAATGTAAAAATTGGTTTTGGAATGTAAGTCCTTATAATTAGCCAACTCTGAAATTTTCTATTCATAAATCATTTTCGCCTCAGGAATAAATGTGTACATCTCAACTTTGTAGAAGATTAAGAAAGAGAAAGCAAGGAGATCGTTTCTGTAATTTTTCTTTTAGTTTTGGTTCAACTATCTCTTTCCTACCATGGACTTCCTTATCACTTACATTAGCTTAAGAAGCAACTTCTGCATCTTGTGTCCGTAAGGTCCTAAATGAGCCAATGCGTTTCCATTCACTGATTTTACTGATTCACAAATTGTCTATCCTAAAAAGACAAAGTTTGAAAAATTGCCTGCTCCCAATATTCATTTTTCACTAAATCTAATCCTATTGAACATTTCATGGTTAAGGATAATATTTTTGTTTTTCTTCAAGGAAGTGCTACTTCTTTATTTTTCTTTCTTCCTAACCTTCACCCAGAATCCCTCTGTCACCATCACCATCATCACCATAAAAATACTGTTGGCAGTCTGGAGGGGAAACTAAAATGTCCAATATTGATATATTTTATAATAGCATAAGTAAATATTCATTTATATATGCCACATACTTATTTGAATGAATTCAATAAATATTAATGTCTAATATAGGCAACTTTACCTACATAAAACTGAAGAATGTGGATACAGAAATAAGTCATTATAGTTAAAGAGTTGTTTTTTTAAAAGAAAATCTACCATATATTATAAATGCATGTAGACTCAAATCAGAATCATAAACTATTTTTGATTAGTTGGGCTGAGTATATCCACTGGAATATTTATACAATAGTTAGCTAGACTTCTTTTGGGAGTAAGGTTATTTCAGTCATTAATTTGTGTGTGTGTGTGTGTGTGTTACTATTTCATCAACAATTTGAACACATTTTTTTACATGCAAATTATCCATTCTAATAAAGGTCATTTAACCAATAAAGATTAATTAATCCCTTTTCAAAACTGTCCAACTGCTGATAGTTTCTGAATGACTGACAGGATTTCTTATCCTGAACACAAGATAAAAGAATTCAAGAAAAAGTGAGAAATGCAATTTAAAACTTACCTTATATGAATGTCATCATCACTGTCCATCTGTAACAACCGCCCTTGTAGACGCCTCTCTTCACTACGAAGCTGTTTTCTCATTTCTGATAACTCCATAATTACATTTTTTTTCTCCTCTTCAAATTCCCATAATGAGTAAAACCAAGACAAATATAAGAACAAAAGATTAAAATATAACCTGATTTATCATAAAGCTAAGATATTTTCATGATAGATATTTTTAATCTTTGATATATACACAGATCATATTTATGAATATTATTAAGAGGGACAAAATACATTTCTGATAATATAAGAATTTCAAAAGTTAAGAAATATTCTTGAGGGTGAGTACAACTCCAAACGGATAATATAAGGGAGTTCCTTTGTAATCGTGGAACAACTCTGTATCTTCATTTGGTAGTGGTTACATGAATTATACATGTGATAAAATTGCACAGAATGACACAGAAACACATACATGACTGCATGTAGAAAGAGTGCAATCTGAAGGTCTGTAGAGAGTATACCAATGTCAGTTTCCTAGTTGTGATATGTAAGATGTACCACAGAGAAAAGTTGAGGGAAGGGTATGTGGGCCTCTCTTTACTTTTTTGGTAACTTTCTGTGAGTCTATAACAAACTTATATAAAAAGTCAGTAAAAAGAAATATTCTAGATGGTAGGTTTAATAGTTAACTATACCTTCTGCACGGAGCTGATTTTTCCTGGCAGGTACTGGAGGAGACAGTGCCCTGGACACGGAACTTTCCTATGTAACAACCATAATGAAGATATGCTCAGAATGCTTTCCAGAAAGGAGTAATTTTTTGAAGAACTGTATGTAAAACCACTGCTATAAAGCTGATTCTGACTCACAGCAACCCTATGACAGTCCCATAGGTTTTCCACGGCTGTAAATCTTTACGGAAACAGACAGTCTCATCTTTCTCTCACAGAGCAGCTGGTAGGTTCAAACCACTGACCTTCTGGTTAGCAGCCAAATGCATTAACCACTGTGCCATCTAAACTCCTTAACTATACGAAATTCCCCACTATCCTACCTATAAACTTACCTACATTTATACTTATTCTTCCTTTTCATCTCAAATGAGAAGTCTTTGCTCCTATCCAAAGATAATCCCTTCACCTGTACTCTTATCTGATGAGCGACTTCCCCCTCCTCCATCAATTACTCTTTTCTGCGTCTCTTCCTTTCCTCTAGAACCTTCCACTCAGACTGTTTGTGTTGTTGTTATATGCCGTTGAGTTGGACCCGACTCATAGCAACCCCTCCTTGGGTTTCCGAGGCAGTATCACTACAGAAGTAGATTGCCCAACCTTCCTTGTGAGGAGAGGCTAGTGGGTTTGAACTGCCAGCCTTCTGGTTAGCAGTCAAGTGCCTTAGACACTAGCTACCAGAGCTCCTTCCTCTCAGCCTATGTTTAAAAAATCTTCCTCTTCTTTAAAAAACAAAAAAAGAAAACCTTACCTTCCCCTTCTTTATTCACTATCTAATGTCTATTCTCTCCTTCACTTCACAGTCAAGCTCCTTTAAAGAATATTAAATGCAGCACTTATGCTGTCTGCATCCTTAATCCCATTCACTAATCAACACACAGCTACTGCCTTTGCTTCTGCCCCATCACACCACTAACCTTGCTCTCAACAAAGTCACCAAATGAATCCCCAAGTGACACATTCTGTAATGGGCATTTTTAAGTCTCTTAGTTTACTTGGCCATAGTTAGTGATACCATTACCTGCCACCTTCTCTGTCTCCATTTCTTTTCCCTGCTTCTTAAATGCTGGCAATTCATCATTATTCCATCCTTAGCCCTTTTTACTTCTCCCTTTACACACTTATCCTACATAATCATACAAACTTGACAAGCACCAATATGCTTACAAAATTATAAATCCAGCCCAGAATTTCTTTTTCTGCCAAAACCCCTATTCTCAACAGCCTCTCTGTATAACCCTCACCAGAAACTTGAAAGCTGTCACTGGCTTCTATCCATCACACACTTAGTCAATAAACGCCACTATTAAATATGTCTCTCTTAAATATGTCTTATGTCTCTCTTAAATATGTCTTAAAGCTGTCACTTCTTAGTTCTTAGTGTCATTTCCTCAGTTTAGGCGCTCAAAGTCTTGCTTCTGGACCTCTGCAAAAAGCATTCTAACTTGTCTCCATGTTTACAGTTTCATCCTGTCTCCAATTTATATCTCCACATCACTGCCAGAGAGAACATTATACAAGACAGAGTGGCCATGTCATTCTCCTCTTAAAATACTGAAGTGTATTCCATGCATTATCTACCATCAACCTACTAAATCAGAATCTCAGAATGTGAGACTCAGAAAGATGTCTGTCTAACAAGTTTCTTAGCCTATTCTGATAATTAACCTGTTTGGAAGGCAAAAGCCGACAGAATAAACTCTTTAGCATGCCATAGAACACCTGACATATGTCCCGACCACCACCTGTTTGTTGCCTTAATTCACAGGGATAATCAAGCCATACCAAACCACAGGGTATGCTCCATGGATGCCATGCTTGCCTACATTTCCCTCCGTGCCTTTGCACATGTCTGAAGTCCAACATCCTCATATAATTTACCTTACTGGTAAATTCCTACTCATTTTTTAAGACTCAACTCAAGGATCAACCCCTCTGAAACCCTGCTCTCCTTACTTGCAGCTCAGTTTAAAGTATAAAAGACCATTATTATAATCACATCTTTACTATAACCACAACTAGCTAAAAGGGATAAATTATCAAAGAAAGGGCCTTCTGAAGGGGCCTAGACAAGAATCATTTTCTAAATCATTGTTTGTGAGAAAAATTTAACCTTTAGGGCACTAAGCATTACCAGTTACAACTGAAGCAGCAGGTAAATTAATGGAGATACTGCTTTGTCACATGGGGTCACTATGAGTTGGACTCAATTCAATGGCACCCAACAACACCTATATTTCAGATGTGAAAAAATTTAAACTAATCAAATAAGATGAATTTTAAAAAAATCTTATTCGACATCCGCCAATCCTAAATAACTGAGCTAGATCTAAGATGAACAAATTAAAAAAATATATATATACATGAATAAAGGAATTTATGATGCTGTCAACTGAAGGAGGTCTTTGCAGTTTGCTTGTGATTTTGTTCTGAAGAGCAGGAACTACAGGAGAAGGTTGTCTCAAGTGCTGAAAAGTTAAAAAAAATATATGTATATGTAGTACGTATGTTCATATACAGATATATTAATATATAAAATCTATATCTAATACGTACACAATCTATACCTAATATTTATACAAGAATATCTAAGAAGTTTAGGCTGTTACTGTTTTTATTTAATAAGAGACTTTTCACAAAAGAGTCAGAAACTCAATTACAAAAATTCAAATACAGAGTAAATCCTGTGAAAGCCAGAACCCTGTGTAATTTGGAAACTTGTCACAGAATGAAAACTAAAATATTTTGCACTAATAGAAGAAACATAGAAAAGTGGTAAGACTGCACTCTGTGCCAAAGGTGGAAAACTTGGGAGACCCAAGAAAACAAGGCAGTCTCACTGAGCTCCAATTCTCACAGTTTTCACTGTGTCAGTTATGATGAACATAAATAGATTTCGAAAACTCACTGCCATCGAGTGGATCCTGACTCATAGTGACCCCTTCCTTGGGTTTCCAAGGCAGTATCACTATGGAAGTAGACAGCCTAATCTGCCTTCCAAAGAGTGCCTGGTGGGTTTGAACCACCAGCCTTCTGGTTAGCAGTCAAATGCCTTAGGCACTATGCCACCAGAGATCCCAAAATGGAGTTGTTATTGTTGTTGTTGTTATGTGCCCTCGAGTAGGACCCGACTCATAGCGACCCCTCCCTGGGTTTCCGAGGCGGTATCTCTATGGAAGTAGATTGCCCAACCTTCCTTCCGAGGAGTGGCTGGTAGGTTTGAACCACCAGCCTCCTGGTTAGCAGTTAAGTGCCTTAGGCACTATGCTATTTAGATACCCGTATTGGGAGCTCTGGTAGCGTAGTGCCTAAGGACTTGACTGCTAACCAGAAGGCTGGCAGTTCAAACCCACTAACCACTCCTCAAGAAGGAAGATTGAGCAATCTACTTCTGTAGAGATACCGCCTTGGTAACCCAAGGAGGGGTTGCTATGAGTTGGGTTCGACTCCACGGCACATAACAACAACAATTGAAAGATTACAGCCCTGGAAACCCAATGGGGGGTTCATTATGAGTTGAACCTGACTCAGTGGCAAGGCATTTGAGTTTTTTTTATTAAAATGTTAGTCCCTGGATGGCACAAATGGTTAAAAAACTTGGCTGCAAACCAAAAGGTTGGAAGTTCCAGTGCACCCAAAGGCATATGGTCTGGCGATCTACTTCCAAAATCTCAACCACTGAAAATGCTGTGGAGCACAGTTCTACTTTGATACACAGGAGGCTGTATGAATTAGAATCAACTCAATGGTAACTGAATTAAAAAATTCTCAAATGAGGATTTAAAAAAAGTTCAACAAACTAACATAAAACCAAAAAACCTATAACCATCTAGTCAACACTGACATATAGCAACCCTAGGAGCTCTGGTAGCATAGTGGCTAAAGCACTTGACTGCTAACCAGAAGGCTGGCGGTTCAAACCCACCAGCCACTCCTCGGAAGGAAGGTTGGGCATTCCTACTTCCGTAGTGATACTGCCTCGGAAACCCAAGGAGGGGTCGCTATGAGTCGGGGTCGACTTGACGGCACATAACAACAACAACAACAACAACAGGACAGAGTAAAACTGCTCCACAGAGTTTCTAAGGCTATAAATCTTTACAGAAGCAGACAGTCACATCTTTTTCCCATGGATAGGCTGGTTGGTTTGAACAACCAACCTTCTGGTTAGCAGCTGAGTGTTTAACCATTGTACCAGCAGGTCTCCTAAGTAACACAACTATATACTAAATATCGATTAAAAAAAAAGAAGACATAAGCCAAAGTAAAAGACTGTCAATAACAAAAAAGGAACGGGACAGAACAAATATCTTTTTCTGGAAAACAACAGAATCAACTTGTAAAATCTAGAACTCAGTCACTCACAGCATCCTAGATGGAGCAATTTTCTGGCTCATGATGGGGTTCTATGTCTCCGTAAGTAAATAAGATGGGGTTTCAGTTTATAGTATATTAAGGCTATCTGTCCCCAAGTTCCCATTAAAATTAAAATGCTGAAAAGATTAAAAAGCCCCAACAAAACATAATAACAATTATCAGGGTAAAAAATCGAGGGCAGAGTACATGTATGTTAAGTTCTTCATTTCACATGGTAGAAAATCAAGTATTAGTTTACTGCTAACTTTGACGAAATCAGAAATACATGCCAAAACAAATGTTTTTTTAAAAACCTCAAGATGACTGACTACAAGGAAAATCATAAAGAAAATATAAATCTTCTAAAACACTACACAGGATAAAAACAAAGCATAGCCCACATAACAAGAAAAATAAAAAATTATCAAAGAAGCAAAAAACAAAAAGTCAGGGATTCAATTACATAAAATCAAGTACAGGTATCCCCTGCTTTTCAGAAGTTACTTTAAGCCACTTCACTTTTACAAAAGACCTACATTATTAGTATCTTCTTTTCACTAACCAAAAGAAATCCAAAACAGATTTCCACCACTTTGAGAAAAAGTGAAAAGTGAAACTAGTGTTCAGCATTTGTTTTGCAACAAATCATTAAAGAGGCAGCACACATCCCACACTCTGAGCAGCAAAAGTGGTGTCACCAAGCTCCTTTCTCAGGTACTATACTCAGCATCTCTACATCAAGCTGCTATAGCTATGAACTGTGTTTGTGAACACTTTATGTTAGTATTATGTTAGGTTTTATGTCTTCTCCGGTATGATTTGGTAGGTTATTTTTTGAGTCTAAGAACACTCCAAAGTTTTTCTCTTATAAATTAATGGTAATTGCCTCTTTGCTTTATGCCATTTCAACTTATGAAAGGTTTCATAGGAATGCACTACTTTCTTATAGTGGAGGAAAACAGTAGATCAATTACAGTAAACATAAATGGATTTAGATATTCATTAGATTATGACTCTCAGATTAGGATAAAAACCAAACCCAGTTAACTAAATCAATACATCCAAAACCCAAACTCACTGTCATCGAGTCAATTCTGATTCATAGAGACCCCTCAAGGCAGAGTAGAACTGCCCCACAGGGCTTCCAAGGCTGTAAATCTTTAACAGAGCAGACTGCTACAATTTTTTCCCATGGAGCCCCTGGTGGGTTTGAACTGCTGCTCTTTCAATTAGCAACCGAGTACTTTAACTACTGAACCAACAGGGCTCCTAATCAATGCACAAACACCCAAAAATGAGATGACACAAAGGTAAAAATTAAAATGGTAGATAAAAATACATATTCTGTATATATAAATGAAACAAATGACAGCAAAGTTAATTTCAGAATCCAAAGCAAAATGCATTCAATGGGATAAATTTGGTTACTGTACCCACTGCCATCCAGTCAATTCTGACCCATAGCCACCCGATAAGACAGAGTAGAACTGCACCATAGGGTTTCCAAAGCTGTAGATCTTTATGGAACAGACTGCCGTATCTTTCTCCCAGAAAACAGCTGGTGGGTTCAAACCACCAACCTTTCATTTAGTAGCTGAGCTCTTAACCTGTGTGCTACCATGCTCCCTCACTGGTTACAATCATACTTCACAATTAAACTGTAACAATCATAAAATCACATATCCCTAAAAACAGAATTTAAATATATATATATATAAATAGGCAGAAACACAGTTGTGGGAAACTAACAATTCTCTTTCATATTTAAATGATGAATTAAAAAACTGATATGGAAGTTGAATTATATACTTTAAAAAGCTAAATGAATGTATATCAAATTTTATATACTACAGAAGACTCTTTCTTGCCAAACAATCCTAGAACAATGCAAACAAACTAAAAGTAAAAATTATACTTCAGTCTCACATATTAACTCTCTTTGTTCCATATAATTTTCTGTGCTGAGCTTATTTTGTTTATGAATCATGCTATCATCTCTTTTGTCGCTCTTGTTTTATCATTTGCTAAATATTTGTGCTTGTCCTCTTTTTTATTGTGATATGAAGGTTTATTATTTTTCTTTGAGGTTACCCTGTGATTTACAATTTTCTTTCCAAGTTTAAAACAATCTTTTTTTTCCCACAATTGTCTTGATTTTCTCATCATGTAGAAGTTCTGTGACTGCACTATTTATTCCCTCTTTTTAGTTTGTAATTGTTCTCATTTCTGGGTTATGACATCATGTGTGTTAATCATCAGTTGCTGTTTGTTGTTGTCGGTTCTCTGTCCAAAGGACTCCCTTTAGCATCTCTTGTAGGGTTGTTCCTGTTTTAACAAATTTCCTTAATTTCTGCTTATCAGGAAATGTCCTAATTTCACCATCATATTTGAGGGAACAATTTTGCTGAGTATATAATTCTTCATTGGAAATATTTTTCTTCTAGGGGTTCACATATATCACCTTATTGCTTTCTCATCTGCATGGTTTCTGCCTAGAAATCAAAGCTTAGTCTTATTGGTTGCCCTTTGTAGGTAACTTTTTATTTTTCCCATGCTGCTTTCAGGCTTCTTTATTTGTTTTTGGTTTTGGTAAGTTTGATTATGATATGTCTTGGTGATTTTCTTTGGGGTCTATCCTGTTTGGGGTTCATTGAACTTCTAGAATGGATATATTCTCATCTTTCATCATACCAGGAAAGTTCTCTTCCAAGAAATCTTTAACAATGCTCTCTGTGGTTTTATTTGTGTCTTCCTATTCTGGAATTCTGATTACATGCAGGTTATTCCTCTTGATGGTATCCCCACATGAACCTTAGGCTTTCTTTCTTTCTGATTGTTCCCTTACCAAAGTAGTATTGAGGTATTTGTCTTCAATCTCGGCAATTCTGTCTCCCCTTGATTCAATTCTACTCCTTTGCCCATTCAATGTGCTATTTCTGAAGTCTTAAGTATTAATCTTCCAGATTTCTATTTGCTGTTTTTGTATCATTTCTAATTTTTTGTTTATTTTGTCAATTTGATCTGACTCAATGGCAGTAAGTGATATTATTTTCCTAAATTGTTCCAGAATTTTGTCTGTGTTTTCTTTGATCTGTCTCACAATCCACTGAAGGTACCCAAATATAATTCTTTTGAATTCCTTATCAGGGAGTTCCAATGCTGCTTCTTTCTCAGGGATGTTTTCTGGTGTTTGTATGGTGGTCCTTTGTTTCTACTACTTTATCTTGCTTCTTTATGTGGACTGTGATGGTCTGTTGTTTCCAAGACATTGTGGTACTGTTGTATTTATGTTTAATTTGTGGTTATGTGTTAGTGTGATTCACCCAAGATTTTTTTCTCCTTTATTTTGTTTTGATATATCTTTCTGAGCAGAGTACTATGCTCCTCTGTTCACTAGTTGTTAGCACGTAGGCACTTACCATCTGTCTCCTGGTGGGTGTGATAGAGAATGAGAGTGTGTGTACAGATCTCTATTAGCTGTTCCTGAAGAGCAGTTGAGGGTGCTTTAAGCTGGTATTGGCCACCATCTATCATTGGTCAGTTGGTGCAAAAGCAAGTGGTGGCCCTCACTTAGTAACTGGGGCTGCAGTAGGGGAAGGTGTATGGTTGGATCGTGTGGGAACGGTTGCTCTCTCCCACTCAGTTAGACTAAAATAAAATTTTAGTCTCCCACTCAGTTAGACTAAAATAAAATAAAAAAACAAGAGAACAAAACACTAAAACCACATAAACAAACAGGAACAATTGCAAAAAAGAAAGGCAATAAATGAGAAGAAAAATTTTACAATATATATTAAAAAGACTAAAGATAATGAAAAAAAGGGGAAAAAATATCTGGGGAGTGGAGAATGAGAGAAAAGAGCAAGAGTAAAAGAATAGTAAAGAACAAATGGGACAGGTGCAAAAGGGAAAAAAGGAACAGGAAGAACCAAAAGAAAGGAAAAAGAAGGGAACCAAGAAAACCAAAGAGGGGGGAAAGAAAGAAGAATATAGGAAGTTGTTGTTGTTATTTGCCATCAAGTCAGACCCGACTCATAGTGACCCCTCCTTGGGTTTTCGAGGCAGTATCACTACAGAAGTAGATTGCCCAACCTTCCTTCCGAAGAGTGGCTGGTGGGTTTGAACCACCAGCCTTCTCATTAGCAGTCAAATGCCTTAGGCACTACACTACCAGAGCTCCTGAATCTAGGAAGATAGAGAAAAAATAAAGAAAGAAGAAGAAAGGAAGAAGATAAAAAGGAAAAATTCAAAAACAAAGAAAAACAAAACTGTGAGGGGTGGGCATAGCATCCAGGCCCTGTCAGGGCACAGATTAGGATGGAATTCCTGCTGGTCAAGAACATGGGTAGAGGTGGGGGATAGCTATACCTCTGTTCACCAAAAGGGTGTGGGATATAAGAATCACAAGGGGAATATCACATCTTTCCAGTTGTCAGCCTCTGGTGTGGTTGCCCATGCTGTCCTTGGCAAGCAGAGTCTATTCTTAGGTTGTTGTCCAGGTCAGAACCCCACTTACATATATTTAAAATGGCCACACCCACCATGTGCAAATATTCAAAATGTCTGCATCCTCAGGATAGCTGGCAGTCCACATGTATCTTTGTCTCCTTCTTTGTGTTTTCCTTTCTGGTTGTCAGTTACCACTGCAGTGCTTGCCCATGTCCTTGGTGAGCAGAGACGATTCTCAGGTTGCTACCAGAGACACACTTGCAAATATTCAAAAATGGCTGCACCCTCAGGACAGCTCTGTTTGTCTCCTTACTCACTGTTTTCATTCAGGTTCTCCAGCAGTCCACAGCTCTGTTTGTCTCCTTACTCACTGTTTTCATTCAGGTTCTTCTACTAGTTGGTGTTTAATCCACTTCTTCATCCTTCCCTTCAAAGCTCAGGGTTCCAGGATCATCTTCTGTATCAGTTTTAATTGGTTTCTCCTTGCTTTGTTGCAGAGGGTCTGTGTAGCTTGTCTGGCTATTCCGCCATCTTGCTGGAACTCCTCACTTATAAACTCTCTATTAAGTAATCTAGGAGCTCTGGTAGCATAGTGGCTAAAGCACTTGACTGCTAACCAGAAGGCTGGCGGTTCAAACCCACCAGCCACTCCTCGGAAGGAAGGTTGGGCAATCCTACTTCTGTAGTGATACTGCCTCAGAAACCCAAGGAGGGGTCACTATGAGTCGGGGCCGACTCGACGGCAGACAACAACAACAACAACAATTAAGTAATCTTTCAACAAAGTATAATTGTGAACACTTATCACTCTGAGAAAAGAAATTAAATAATGTATTCTGAGAAAATGGTTTATGTTATAGGCAGTAGGTATAAATATTGAAAAGTATGCCAAAATCACATTATAAATACAAGGAAGAGGCCTACCAGTTAAAGGTTATCTCAAAATGTGACCCACATACCAACTGCATCTGAACTCCTAAGAATGCTTCATATGCAGATTCCTAACCCTCCCTAAGATTTAGTAAATCAAATATTCTGCAGGTAAAACGTAGGAACTTGCATTTTCAACAGACCCTCAATGATACCTATACACACAAACTTTTAAGTATAACTGAAATATGAACAGAGGTATGAGCTGGATACTCATAAGGGCCAATTAGCTTTTTAGAGAAAAACCTCTAATGATTTTGATGCATGTACTTTTCTCTGAACATCAACCTCCTTACTCAGGGATACAGATTTCAAATCAGTCTTCAATGAACCATCAGTTTCTTTTTCAATTTCCAATCCATAGCTGACAGATTTGTAAAATATTGTAAAAATGAAAACTAAACCAAAGCAAATCCACTGCCACTGAGCCAATTCCTACTTGTAGTGATCCCACAGGACAGAGTAGAACTGCCCTATAGGGTTTCCAAGGCTTGTAAATTTTTACAGAAGCAGACTGCCTCATCTTTCTCCCACAGAACAGCTGGTGGGTTCGAATCACTTATCTTTTGGTTAGCAGCCCAATGCTTTAACCACTGTGCTACCAGAGCTCCTTGAGTAAGATGAATTACTAGATAAATGAAAATTTCTTAAAAGGCATACAAAATTCAAGCCCAATGTTATTATTATTATTATATTCAACAGACAAAAAATTACTTTTACAAACAGTTACAAGTTTCTAAATGCTTAATAGTAATTGCTTTACTTATACTGTCATAAACTAGTAACAAAAAATTTGTGGAGTGCTGATCCATAGACAATACTCTTGCCTTAGGAACAAGACTATGAATGAATAAGGTAAACCCATTCCATTCACTAGGGAAAAAACACCAACAAGGTACAGTGTTAATTTTATGTGTTAATTTGGCTAGGCTATGGCGCCCAGTTATTTGGTTAAACACTAGTCTAGACTCTTTTATGAAATAGCTATACGTGATCAAATCAGTTGGACTTAGATAGAGCAGATTACCTTCCATAATGTGAATGACGCTCATCCAAACAGTTGAAGGCCTTAAGAGCAAAAAGGGAGTTTTCTGCTTCCAGAGTATAAACAGACATTTTGTAAGAAGTGCATCACCCTTTACTCTTCTGTTACCTGACCTACAGATTTTGGGACAAAAGACTGCAGGAATCTCCAGTTCACTGCCTATTTTATGGATCTGGGACTTGAAAGCCTCCCACAATTGTCTGAGCCAGTTTCTTAAAAATCAATCAATATCTTTTTCCCTTTCCCTCTTCATATATATATATATATATATACATACATACACATACACACACACACACACACATCACTGCTTCTGTTTCTCTAGCGAACCCTAAGACACACAGTGACATCAGCTTACATAGGAATTCAGTACACTGTACCGCAACTACACAATGGGGTAGAATGAGGAAAACAAAAGCACCTCTTCTCTCTTTCTTTAACATCTCCACAACTCTCACAGTGAACCAAACCAAACCCACTGAGATCGAGTCTATTTTGACTCACAGTGATCTGATAGGATAGAACAGAACTGCCCCCATAGGGTTTTCAAGGCTGTAAATCTTTATGGAAGAAGAATGCTTCACCTTTCTCCCACAAACCAGCTGGTGGGTTTAAACTGCTCACTTTTAGGTTAGCAGCCGAATGAATGCCTTACCCACCAGAGCTGCTCTTAAGTGAAAGTGATATTAAAATAGGTTTGAATGACATTGTCACCAGAAACTTACCTTCACTTCTTCCCCAATCATATTTTCTCTTTCATAGTAGTGCTGAAGTTGCAGGTTATGTTTTTCTTCTTCTTCTTTCTTTTTCCTTTCTGCTTCTTTTCGTCTTTCTTCAGCTAACCGAATTAGTTCTTCATTTTTTAGCCTTTGCTATAAAGTAAAGGTAACAAAATAAAAAAATAAAAAAATTCACTCCATACATACATTCCATAGCTCATTAAAAAAAATTTCTGCCTTGTCTGAAATAGAGATAATTTCATATATACAAAATAAAGGAAATTATCTGCTTAATAATAAAAGATTAGGCATTTTTTATAATAATTTTAGTAAACTGATATCTTTGGCTTTAAAAAAAGAAGTATCATTTATCTCTTTTCTTAGCAGAGTTTTTCACCTTAATAAATTAATATCTAATGAATGAATACCTGTTATTTCCTAAATAATAACAAGATTGTTCTTACTTATAAATAACAAGTATTTTTCAAGTCAAAATTAAGATTTCACTTTCAGACTAGGTAGTAAAATAGAGCTGAAAAAAAATGCACCTCCTCCTCTTTCTCTCTTTTTTTTTCCTGTTCCTCTTCATACTCTTGTTGAATTCGTGCCCTCTGTTCTGCAAGCCGTTTTTCTTCTTTTTCTTCTGCAATTCTCAGTCTCTCCCGCTCTGCTTCCTCTCTTTGTTTTTTTTCCTCAATCTAGAGAATTAAACCTAGTTATTATTTTGTAAAACAACTGAAAAGTTAGAACACTATTTTTCCAGTATCCCATGAATTCAATATTTGCATCAAACTCTTTTTGCAAGTAAAAACGGGTTCCTAAATTTGTCAGTTTCCTGTATTTTATTAAGGAGGCTAATGTTAAATGTTATAAACTAAATTCTAGCTCCACTGAATATTTATAGACATTAAGAAACATTCTCGTCCTTAATTTTCTTCATCTGGTAAAAAGAACTATTAATGTCAACCTCCTAAAGGAGCAGAAGTAAAACAATGTTTATAAAGACAATAAAAGTCCCCTCAATAGAATAGAAGGTTGTCAGTAAATAATTCAGGACTACTCTGGTAGCGTAGTGCCTAAGGCACTTGACTGCTAACCAGAAGGCTGGCGGTTCAAACCCACCAGCCACTCCTTGGAAGGAAGATGGGGCAATCTACTTCTGTAGTGATACTGCCTCGGAAACCCAAGGAGGGGTCACTATGAGTCAGGTCCGACTTGATGGCACACAACAACAACAACATTATTATTACATCTCAAAATTCCTAGGCTTGATTAGTATCGTGATACAATAGGTAAATTAATATTTTAGTATTCAATCATTTTTGTATGCAAGAATCCCTTCCCTAGAATGCTATCTTTCTTATCTAACGGAAGGATGATAGGAAAGGAATTAAAACTATTAGGTATAAGAGGATTAGGCCACAAGGATTCATCTCAAATTCCTCCCAGAACCTGTAGTGCTGAGGACTCTGGGGGAGTATCTGAAGGTGAAGTCTAAGATCTGAAGGGAAGAGGATCCTAAGAGATGGTCCACATTCCCCAAGAGCAATAGGGAAGACCGGCAGCTTGGGGACTAGGTGTCTGTGATTCTGGTTTAAGGTTATCAACAGATTTGAGTTACCCTTAAGTATGGCTGCAGGATCTCTGGTGGCTCAATGATTAAGCATGCAGCTGCTAAAGGTCAGCAGTTTGAACCTACTAGCTGCTTTGCAGGAGAAAGATGGGGTAGCTTGCTTTCATAAAGATTCCAGGGAGCAAAAACCTCACTGCTGTCAAGTCAGTTCAATCATAGTGACCCCTCATTGGGTTTCCAAGGTGGTATCTCTATGGAAGTAGATTGGCCAATCTTCCTTCCATGGAGTGGCTGGTGGGTTTGAACCTCCAGCCTTCTGGATAGCAGTCAAGTGCCTTAGCCACTATGCCACCAGAGCTCCTCCTTGGAAACGCTATATGGTAGTTCTACCCTATCTTACAGGGTCACAATGAGTTAAAATCCATTTGATGGTAATGGTTTAAGTGTGACTATACACATGTTTATTGGTCTCATCTGCATTTTGTCTAGTTATATCTAGAGGCTATTCTATCTAATGCTATCAATCTTTTGAGCTATGAGAAATTTAATCTTCTCTAATATTCTTACATGCTTCCATGACTTTACATGCTGGGGCTTTTTCCAGCACTTCTTTGTCACAACACTATTACATAAGCACAATCATAATTTGTGTATTTAGGATCACATAGTGTACATGCAATCACTCCTTCAAGTACAAAATACCTAGAGAAAATATCATTTATGATCTATACAATAAAATCTCATATTTAACACTCAGCTCCTACCCCATGAAGTTTCTTCCAATACTAGTAGTTTTTCCCAGAGAGAATAATTTCCTAGAGATCCTAGAAATAGTAATATGGTATCTACAGATTTGGAAGACTTGGGTTTAAGCATTGGCTTCACAATTTCCTAGCTCTACTACTATGGGCAAGTATCTTAGTCTGAGCTTTAGTTACATGTCATAAACTAGAGAGAATAACACCTTCCTTGGGACATTTTGAGGTTTAATAAGCTACTATATATAAAAGTATCTCATAAACAATAAAAAGTTATACAGTTGTAAGATTTTCCTCCCCCTGAATTCTACCCTAGACTTTGCTAAGACTTAGTAAGTATCCAAAAACCAGACTCACTGACATCAAATGGATTCTGACTCATAGAAAACCCCACTGGGTTTCTGAGGTGATAATCTTTACAGAAGTGGATGGCCCCATCTTCATTCTGTGGAGTGGCTGGTGGGTTTGAACTACCAACCTTCTGATTAGCAGTCAAATGCCTTAGGCACTGCACCACAAGAACCCCTTAGTGGTAAGTATAATAGGGCCTATTTAAATATGTAACTTGCTGTCATTATGGGCAGTACACCACATGAGCCTTCAAGTTCAAAAGGTGACTCTGTGACCCTTCAGTCTGCTGCTACATGGCTTCAGTGGGCAACATCCTTGACACTTTTAATGCCACCCTCTAATATTCAGTAAGACACTTGCCTGCTAACCAGATGGCTGGCGGTTCAAACCCACCAGCCACTCCTTGGAAGGAAGGTTGGGCAATCCTACTTCCGTAGTGATACTGCCTCGGAAACCCAAGGAGGGGTCGCTATGAGTCGGGTTTGACTCGACGGCACATAACAACAACGACAACAACACATTCATTCTAGCAACCCTTAGAAAGGCCTTTCCACCATTCCCACTGTTAACACTCTATTGAAATATCTCTGCTTCCTGTCTTTTCAATCCTCAAAAAATACATTCCAAACATTAATACCAGGTCAATCATCCTTAAAGACTATGTCCATTATGTTTCTTCTTAATTTAAGAGTTCACAAAAATTAGGATTAGAACAATGATATAGTTACACTCCTTAGAATAATCAACCATGGGAGATCAGAATGGGTTATCTGCATAGGGAGATATCTCAGAGGGCAGGTATGCATAGGAAAGGATACAAGGGAAAGGTAACCAGACGGAGGAAATGGGAAGAGAGCTATTACAGTATGGGGACTGCAATCAATGTCATTTAACAAAATGTATATGAATTGTTGAATGGAAGATGAATTTGCTCTGTAAACTTTGACCCAGATCACAATAAAAGAAAAAGAAAAGAAAGCACATGATGTGTTTGAGGGAAATTTGTGTAAGAAGAATCTGTTTAAGAGGTTAGGATTAAACTGGATATCCTTAAATGTCAGGCAAAAAAAAAAAAAAAACCTACTACCAGTTTTCAATAAAGAATAATTGCATGTGAAAAGTCATATCAAAGGAAGATTAACCAGGTCATAGCATTAATCTGATCCTATGATGTAAGTGTGGCTATATGAGAAAGAGGGGGTAAAAAGAAATGAAACTATAAGTTCTTTATGAGCAAGGATCTCATTCATCTCCAACTCAAACCCTAGTATTCAGCACAAGGGTGGACAATAAACCCATGTGCTTAATAAACACCGATGTTCAAGTGTCTTTACTCTGGTCATTTTCTTTACTTTAAATGCTATTTGCTTATATATACAAATAGAGAAAGTAACTGCAAAACGTGACTATCATACACCTAGTTTTTATATTTACAATCTGAAAGGTTTAGTCAAGAATATAAAATCATTTGGAAGAAAATAAGATTGACATTCTACTAATTTATAAACATCTGGAAAGATTCATTCAGTGCCTAATAGGTGAATATTTTAGTAATTCAGTTTTTAAAATTTCACATTCTCTATTTTAACTAATCAATAATTTAATGAAGTTCAGAAAAGATTAAGTCAACTGTTATATTTAACATGTCTATTTCCTTTTTCAGATGTAACAGACAGTAATATAATTTTAGTACTACCTCTATCTGGTAAAAATTAGTATTTTAGATAATGACATTAAGAATTTAGGCTTTATCCTGTAGATATTTTTACAAGTTTAGTTTTAAGAAGGTTTATTAGAATTCTATGAATTAGTGAAACTAATAAGCATTTTACCTGAAAACGAAGAAAATTCTTATATAATTCTTGCTGTTTAATCTGAAGTTCAGTTGGGGGCTCACCAAATATATTTCCCCGAGCAAATGGAGAGCTCTGTGTTTGCATATAACCTTGAGAGAGACATTTTGCAAAAACATACCATTAGCCAGTGCTTAGAAAATATAAAGATTAATGAAAGAAGAGTTTGCTAATAAATTTATATTTTAAAAAACTGTGCTAAGTAAGAAAGTCGAGAAGTTAAGGTCAGAAGAAGAGGCCTGAAGATCAGATGAAGAGTAACAAGAGGGGGAAAAAAAAAACTAGTGACACTTAAATAAAATGAATAGCTGAAATATCATACCATATCTACACCTGAAAAGACCATGGAAACGTGTAAAAGCTAAGGAACTCTTGTTCCAACAAAGGTTTTCTTAAAGTAAAACTTTCAGAGAGAAAAAAGTATACATTTAAATTCTATGTATGTGAATATTCTCTTAAGAATAATGTTTAACCATATGTTAAACTGTATTATGTGTGAGTGTGTATATGCATATATAGATAAAATTTCTAAAATTATTTTAAAGACAAGTAATTTCAAAAGTCTTCCTATCCATAGTTTAAATAATGGCGAGAAATTAGCAAGCTAGTTATAAAACATTTTTACAAATTAGATGCGTCTTCTAAGCATTACAACAGTTTTTGCTTAAAGATTCAATCAAGTTAATGGGATATAAACATGAACAAAAAACATTTTATTACCTATTACCTATGAATAATATTAGCTATGCTTGGAGAGGTTAAAAAATTATTTCATAATAGCAACTTGAAAAACAATTATACCCTAGGTGTCTCTTTGAATGTAGAAAGTAAAAAAAATTGTTATTTAAATTTAAGCCTCATATACTTTTTTGTATTATTTTTGAGTTACTGACTCATTCCTTACAGTATCAATCTAGACTCATTCCTTACAGTATGAATCTAAAGTGCATACTTATCTCACTTGTGTAGTTTTATGAACACTGACAGCTTTGCAGTTTAGCTGAACTTCAGGTCTATTTTGCCTTTGTACTTAAATTTACTAATAATTCTCTCATCAGCAGAAAACCAAACCAACAGTTAAACATTATGAATGTTCTCTTCTACTAAAAAATTTTCCTACTGAATATGAACTAAATTGACATCTTAATGGTTCTTTTAAGGTTTATGACGTGGTGAAAAAGCTGATTAGCAAAATAAAATTGAGTGGTAAGTTTCATTTTGATGAACACTTATTCAAAACATATGAATGATTTGGGGCAATTGAAGAAGGAAATTATTAAATTCAGAAAAGTTAAGTCCTTTTAACAATAGGTAAACTATAAAAATAAAACCATAAGGAAGTACTTGTTCTATATGAAGAACATGGATATGTATCTAGGAATCATAATGAGCCAAATCAGTATTGAACTTCATAGACTGCAGCTCACCTAAGAACCATGAATTAAGAGAAGAATGAAAATTACAAAGCGTCTCAAAAGCAACCCAAAAAGGGACTAAACACTAGAGGAATGAACCTTAAACACATTCAATGAAAAACATTCACTTTATTCTATAGCATGAAGATCTCAATACAGATACTGGAAAAAGCAGTAAATGTAGAAGAGAAAAATAATGAGAATCAGAAAAAAGCTGAAATTTTCTTAGTAGTAATGACATGAAAAGGCCTTTTGATGTCCCCATTATTGTTGTGTTGCCATCAAGTTGATTCCAACTCATAGCAACCTATAGGACAGAGTAGAACTGCCCCATAGGGTTTCCAAGGCTATACATCTTTATGGAAGCAGACTGCTACATCTTTCTCCCACAGAGTAGCTGGTGGGTTCAAACCAGTGACCTTTTGGTTAGCAGCTGAATACTTAACCACTGTGCCACCAGGGCTCCTTTTGATACTTCTAACTGCACTTTTAATTATTACAGGTTCGGAGTAAGAGATAAATTAAATAAAATAATGTTATCAAAATAAAAAATGCCAACTTTAGTACCCCAAGATTCAAAACTTGATCTACTGGTAGAAATAATTTTGGATCAAAGAAAGAAAGCATTTTTCTCACAATGAGAGATTAAACAGTGGAATAGGCTGCCCAGGAAAACAGCAAGCAACCCAACTCTGATGTGTTCAAAAAAGGCTGCCAAGGATTAAAAGATGCAGGGCTAGTGACTCCTGTTACAGTTCCCATCTATCTAACCTGCCTGCTAGGGTTTTTTGGCTTTTTCTCTTTTTTTTTTTTTTAAATAGGCTGGCTCAGGGATATTTTAGAATGACTTCCTAATGCCAATTTCTTTTCTAGTCTAAAATTAAAACTTCTGTGAAAGTACAAAAGGAGAATTTTGTGATAAATTAATAGCTACTTATATAGGCATCAAATTTTAATGCTAGGTAGCCTATTCTTTAAACCTCCTTTTGACTTTTAAATATATATCACACTATATATATATACATATATATAGTATAAATATATATTTTAAACATATATCACATTTTCATATATACTTGATAAAGAAAGCTGATGACAACTTTTCCTGGCAACTCATAAAGAAATATACTGAATAAATTCCAATTGATAGGACTTTTAATTAAAGGATGTTATTTAATTGCAAATCAAAGATATTCCCAAAGGTTGGGAAAGGGGGATGTGACCAGATACTAAGTAAAATTTCTAATTACCTCATTCCTATGCACACTGTGATTTTACAAGGCAGATAATTACTAAAACAAGCAAAAAATGAATTTCACTGTACAATTTACCATACCACACCTTTTCACTAATTCAAATTGCTATTGGTATAATATGAAGCAAACTATGTATATGTAAAAATAGTACTTGATTTTAAGAAATATCATCCCCTACCAGCAAAATAAAAATGTTAGCAGCAGCTAAAGCAAGTTACAAAGCTGAGAAGAAATACACAGCCTTAAAAAGCAACCTGTATTTCCCTATTCAGTTTCAAAAGACCCATGAAGAAAAGGTATCATGAACAGCATGAATAACATGTTGTGCTTCCTAACTCAAAGTAACCAATTCTTAAAACTGTAATAAGAACTTTGTCAGAGAATAGAATAGAACAACTTTAGAACTGTTTAAAAAAAAAAATAGAATGTGATTAAAAACCTGAGATTTTATTTGCAGAATCTTCTAGGTTTTCAGCATTTGAAGTGGCTAAATTTTGCTCTAGAGATACAACAGCCCTTTTATCTTCATAGGTTCTTGCATCTGGGTTATGGTAGGCATCTATATTTTTTCTGTGCATCCTATTCAAATCAGCTGAGAGGGAAAAATAAGCCATTTATTTCAATAAACACATTTTTATAATTGTGTTTAATACATTTTCTTAAAATAGGGAATAATTATCCAGCTTTGGTTTTAGAACTACAAACTCTGGAGAAAAAAAAACAATGGAACAGAGCTAGGAATGAACCAATGACGTCTTGTTGCTCTGAAAACAGAAACAAAATTACCAAAACATATAAGAATATTGAAAAATAATAATAACCCTGAAAAATAAGCTTAAAATTAGTTGAGAAATTAAGGATATATAAATTCTTGACAACCCATAAAAACCGTATTTGTAATATCTAAGTTATCTCAGAACTTGCAATTTAATAGAGAAAAACATAACAGTAATTCAAAATAAGTCATAGTGAAACTTATTGAACATCATTAGCTCTACTAATGGAAAAACATAATCATACAATGTAGGAGTTTTTAAATGTATCTAAAAATTCTTTGGCAATTGTCCCTCAAAATGTGACATTCAATTCCTCTCCTCCTGAATGTGGGTAAAATTAGTAGCTTACTTCTTATGAACAAGATATTGTGGAAATAATGATATATGATTTCTGAAGCTACTTCATAAAAGACATTACGGTGCCCCACCTTGCTCACTCTCTTGAATCACTTGCTCTGATGAAAGCCAGCTATCATATCATGAAGATATTCAATAAGTCCTATGATAAGGCCTACATGACAAAGAATCGAGGCCTTCTGAGCCATGTGAGGGAGCCATACTGGAAAATAATCCCTCCAGCTCCAGTCAAGCCTTCAAATGATTGCAGCTCTAGATGGTATCTTGACTGCAATCTCATAAGAAACAGTGAGACAGAATTACCCAGCTCAACTGCTCCCAAATTACTGACCCACAGAATTGCAAGATAGTGAACATTTATTTTAAGGTATCTTTAAGTTGTGAGGTAATTTGTTACACAGCAATAGATATCTAAGATACATGGCAAAAATCTGCACGTGCTCAGCCTATATGACTAGGAGACCAGAAGAACTAGATGGTGCCCGGTTACCACTATCAACCACTTGGAAAGGGATCAGTACAGAAGATCCTGGATAGTGTCCTATAGGGTCGCTATGAGTCAGAAACAACTTGATGAGTGTGTTAAGCAGTTACAGATGAGAAAATTAAACTAATTTCCTTAAAGACAAAAAGCCAATAAGTGGCAGAGCAAGAAATCTGAACTCAGGCAATGAAACTCCAGGTTTTAAGTATGGCGTACTAGAACAGATTATACTTTTAGATACATGGTATGGCTCAGATGTAAAAAAAGACAATGAAATAGTGATGATCTCTATTGTGGCAATAGTAAAAACAAAAATGAAGAAAATTCAGGAAACACGGAAGAGGCATAATCTATACATGAGGCTTATTAACTTACTGGATATGAGAAATCAAAAGGACTCTGTGCTTATTTTATTTAAAAGTTCAGAACTGTGATCTGAATGTTAAAGTTTGGTATTTCAGGTTAGGTATAAATAATCCACTGAACATCAGATACAGAGATGCAGAAGACAGGTTAAAATGAAGTAAAGGAGTTTTGAGAGTGGTCAGGACTTGAGAAAAAGATTTGAGTATCATCTATAAAGAGGGCCTAAGGAGTATTATAGTCACAGAAGAGATGATGAAGGACTGTATGGATGAAGGAGAGAGTATTCTAACTCAAGGAACACACGAGGCCAGAAGACAGTCCTTAAAGTAAAGATCATGTACACACACCTAGCAGAGTCTAGCCTGTTTCTTAATCCACACCCAATAAATGTCTGCTGAAGAGAGGATGTACAGGACTTAAAGAACTGTCAACTCAGCTCAAAGTGGATTAAATTAAAAATTAGGACATAAATTACTTTTGAAAACATAGATCAGTAGAGTGTTGAGATCTGAAGTTACATTATTGAAGATTAAATAATAAAACAGTGGTGATAAACGGCAGCAGCAAACACAGACTACTTTTTGAACACATTTTGTAAGATAATAACAGGGTCAGAACACAGTTTTTCATTTGTTTGCTGTGTTTATACAAACTATTTTATGAGTCAATTCAGAGAGGTAAGCCAAATTTTCAACTCTGGCACTACTAGCAACATATATTTCAAAATTAATCAAATGTAAAATATATACACTTACAGAAATCATAGTATTTAAGATAAGTAAAAATCTATGGGTAGTCTATAAAATAATGATCACAAAGTTTAAAATATTGAAATTATAAAAATTATTTTTCTAAACAAAAAGGAATATAAACTAAAAGTGAATAAAGAAAGATATTTGGAAAATCCCCAAATATTTGGAAATTCTAAAAACATACTTCTAAATAACCCATGGTTCAAAGAAAAAGCATTCTTGGCATAAAGAAACCTAAACATCCCAAACTCTGTTGCAGAAGGCAAAAGTGATATTTTTCCACTTCTAAAACAGGACCCCAAAAGATCTAACTTATTCTCCCCAACCCCTGAATCCTGTTTGTGCAGCTAGAAGTGGAAGACTCCAAGATGGAGGAGTGACACAATGGAAAAGGCCTGGATCCCTGAATCACCACATCCTGGAGGAAAGCCACTCAAACAGCAGTAGAATGTGACTTAAGTGAGAAGGAAACTTATCTTGCCTTAATTCTCTAAGAATCTGGAGTTATTTGTTATAATACTTTTCATTCATTACCTAGACTAATACTTTTACTTTAATAAAAGGAAATATTATAGCACTACCCATATATACATAGGGTCACTAAGAGTCAGAACTGACTTGACAGGAGGTACCTAACAACAATCCATAAATGAAAACAGATCCAGTGTTTTTCTAATATGCACTTAAATAAACATTTAACTATTGAAATAAGAAATAGTCATCTCTATGTCACCTAAAATCATTTATAAAGAAAGAACCACGAGTTTCAATTTTCTAGGGTATGGAGGAAAGTACTCATCAGATAGACAGGAAAGGAATACATTCTTTGACGAAAAAAAAAGAGTGATCTTATTAATGTAAGTAGACCTCAAATATATCTATCTTATCAAAGAATGATATTTAACAAAGAATCAAAGGCATAACTCATAAGAACCCTGATTCAATATTCAAACAATCTTCTGACTCCATCATCCAGCTATCACTACAATAATACCTAAAGATCAACATGAAATTTACTGTTTTATCATTTTAATACATACTTTTCTATCACCCTCTCATTTTTCACCAAATAACTTTCAAAAACCCATTATCTTTGTTCTATTTTTATTCTGCTTGGCTAAAAGCCAATCAGAGACCATCCTAATATATATAATATCTTTTATAAGCCTATGTTTTCAAAGTCTTTGGTGTATGACAACTAGATCAAAATTTTTTGAGTACGCAATTGAAAGGTAAATCAACATAATCCTGCAACATGCTGCAGAGGTTCCTGATATCAGGTCTTTTTGTACTTTTCAAGGAGTCCTGCCAGTGGGCAGATATATCACATATACGAACTAAGCACAACATCTAAACCACCATTCCAGATCACTTACTTTTAAGATCTCTTCTTATCAGCTAAAAACAACAACTTATTATACTAGGAAACAAAGAAAATATTCTAACTACCAGTGTAGGTAAAAATTTGCCAATTAGCATGAATTTTTCCTCTACAATTGGGTTTATTATCATCAAAGGATGTAAAATCCGTAAAAAAAAATAAATGAATACTATCTAAAGAAGAAAGGCTTTCTCGTCGCTGTTATATTCATCATTTTTTTGCACTAAGCTACATATTAAGAGACTTGTTTTACAGACTATAGTTCCCATTTTCTTCTATTCTTCACTCTTTTTAAAAGTTAAAAATAATTGAGTTTATTTTAAAAATCAGCAACTCACTGGAATTAACATACTTATCAAATTTCCTTTTGCATCCCTCAGAGGCGCACCACCTCCACCTTTCCCCCAAGGATTATAACTTCTCATTTCAGCTTCTAATTTAGCTTCATATTCTTCTTTTTCTTCACGTTCTTTCTTCCTTCTTTCTTCTCTTTCCCGAATCTTGGCAACACAAGAAACATTCACTGTAAGTACTGTTACAAGTATTCTGATACAATAATACCAGACTTTATTTTTATTAGATGAAGGTACATTATTTTTCAGTACACTTGACAGTTTGAAATTTACAAATATATGCAGATGCTCAATTTAAAACTACTTCAGTGGCTAAAATATAGAGTGTTACTCCCCTATATCATGCTATAATAGACCTTTCCAGTCACTGCTACCACTTTTAAATGAACCAACTACTCCTCCACACCCCAAACTCTCCCTGAACCATTATTTAGGAAAACCTAAGGTTTCCCTCCTTAAACCTCACGTTAATGGTCATGTGGACCATTAAGATCTCCCCACTTTCCTTTTTGATACAACCTGTCCTAGAAACTGCCCAGCCACAAACACTACTCCCACCTCACCAGATCTATTTTTAAAAAACAAAAAAAACAGTTACTGGACAGTTGATTACAACTCATGACTACCCCATCTCAAAAACTCACTGCCATTAAGTTGATTACAACTCATAGTGACCTACATACGATTTCCAAGGCTGTAAATCTTTACAGAGGCAGATTGCCTCATCTTTCTCCCATATAGCAGCTGGCAGGTTTGAACTACTGAGCTTTTGGATCACAGCCCAGTGCTTCAACCACTATAACCACCAGAGCTCCTTCTGAATATCCCATCTATGTCAAAATAGAACTGTGCTCCATAGGGTTTTCAATGGCTCATTTTTCAGAAGTAGATCATCAGACCTTTCTTCCAAGGAACCTCTGGATGGACTTGAACCTCCAACTTTTAGGTTAGCAGCCAAGTGCACTTATCATTTGCACCACTCAAGGGACCCTAGACCTACCCAATTCCGGGCCATTCCCAGAATTCAGAGAAGCTGAACGTTCGAAGCTTAGTTTAGGTATAACTTTATGAAAGTGTATAAAACAAATACATTCCTATCATTACCAACTATAAGCACAAGGTTGTTCTCTAGAGACATGTGGATATGGAACAAACAAGTATGCACATTTTAGAAAGTCACTTTTAAAAATATAACCATATGCATAGAAAATTTAAGCAACTTTTCACTCCAGCAAGGCCAAAGAAGTCATCAAATACATAAAACAGACTTCCAGTGTTAGAAAATCTAGTTTTGTCAAGTGGTGGTTTTAATTTGCTCATACAAAATTTGACAGAGTTAGACTTTTATTTGTAGAATCTTAAGTGCATAAAATAATGTTGGTAAAGCTGTAATTCTTTAAAATTCATCTTTCAAATGGTTGGCCATGTAAATGTTGAACAAAAGGAGTTTTAGAAGAGATGCAAGTGGAATTTTAAAAAAAGCATCTCAACTGAACATGTAGCCACAAAGATTAGAACACTGGGAATCATGTTCAAGCTCTCTTTCTTATTCCCTATATTCAATTCTTGTCAACGTCTGACTCGGGGCCTCATTTCCTCTTGCCTGAACTACTTCAATAGTTTAGTAAAAGGTTTCCCTGTCACATCTCTTTTCCCAACTGCCTACACCTCAACCAGATCCTTCCTAAAAGGCAAATTTGCTCACATCAACTAATCCTTTGACTTTGGGATTTAAAATTTCATGCCTTTGGCTATTCACTGCCTACAGGATAAAACTGCAAACCACTAAAACAGTCCTTCACAATCCAGCACAGTCTAACTCTACAGTCCCATCTCCTACCACTCCTTTATATGCACACCAATTACATTCCCTAAAAATACTAGCAATTTCAAATCTATTGAGCAACACCCAGCTAAAATATTAAATACTATGTGAAGCCCTGGTGGCATAGTACCTAAGGCACTTGACTACTAACCAGAACGTTGATGGTTCAAACCCACCAGTCACTCCTCGGAAGGAATCTACTTCCATAGAGATGTCGCCTCGGAAATCCAAGGAGGGGTCGCTATGAGGCAGAGATGACTTGATGGCTCATAACAACAATAACGTGAAGCCCTCTCCAACTGCCTCAAGCAGTTATTCTCCCTTTCTTATGCTTCCAACATCATTCCAGTTTACCACTTCAACACTTACCACATTGAATTATAATTGTTTTCTTTCTCCCCTGCCAGATTCTGAGTTCTAAGAGACCACTGTGCTAATACATAAGGTATTCAACATTAAATGAATGAATGAATGGATACCTGTTGCTGCAAAGCTTCTTGGTAAGACTGAAGTGACTGTTTTGAAGGCTTTGGTTTATCTTCAAAAAACAATCCTGAATTTACTACTCGATCATACATAGTTTTCAGTTCGTTCTGTCCAGCTATGTTCCTACATCAAATACACAATTAATAATTGTAATCCATATATGACTGTACAAACAGAAGAAAATCCAACACTCCATTGAAATACTATGGCATATAAATAGATTTAAAAATTGGAGGGACATTTATCCATAAATCAAAGAGAAATTAGTGGGTACTTCCTAAAATCTCCTTCTGATCATCCATGGAACTTTCAAATTTACTAGATCTGTCTTTTCATCTAAGTGGCAGTTACATGGGGTTAATACTTTTTTGAATGTATAGAATTCCTAACACAGGAGAATTCCCTCAAGTAACAAATATAACAAATGATTTTGCTAACATATGTGGTACAATGTAATTACTTCCTAGCCACTTCAAAAATGCTATTGTTAAAAGAAAGCAGAAAGAAGGAAATAAAAGACATTAGAGAAGAAATAAACAAAACATAGACTGAAAAACAACAGAGATCAATTAAATCAATACTAGTTTCTTTTAAAAGATCCACAAGATTTACAAGCACTTCACAAGACTGACCAAGAAAAAGAGAAGGCTCAAATTATTAAAATTAAGAATAAAAGGGGGAGCATTATAATTGACCTTAAAAAAAATTTTTTTAAGACTATAAGGGAATATTATGAAAGACTGTATGCCAACAAATTAAGATGATCTGGATGAAATGGACAAATCTCTACAAATGCATAAACAATCAAAACTGAGTGAAAAAAAAATTAGAAAATGTAACAAGAGATTAAATTAGTAGTCAAAAACCTTCCCACAAAGAAAAGACCAGGGCAGCTGGCTCCACTGGTGACTTCTACTCAGCATTTAAAGAATTAATACTAATTCTTTACAAACTCTTCTAAAAAATAAAGAAACACTTCCAACTCATTCTATTATTATCCCAAGATCATACAAGGACATCAAAAGAAAAAGAAACAGCAACAACAACAAAACTACAAACCAGTATTACAAACCAGAGGAAGCTCTGGTGGCATAGTGCCTAAGGCATTTGACTGCTAACCAGAATATTGGCAGTTCAAATCCACCAGTCACTCCTCAGAAGGAAGACTGGGCAATCTACTTCCGTAGAGATACTGCCTCAGAAACTCACTACGAGTCGGAATCAACTCCACAGAAGTGAGTTTGGTATTTTTTAGTATCTCTTAGAAATACATATACAAAAATGCTCAACAAAAAATTAACAAACTGAATCCAGCACAATATAAAAAGAATTATATATCCTGACAAAGTGGGATTTATTCCAAGATTCCAAGGCTGATTTAATTTCTGAAATCAGTCAAAGTAATATACCGTATTAATAGAATAAAGGACAAAAAAAAAAAAATACATGATAACCTCAATAGACATAGAAATAAACTTTTGATAACATTCAATACTCCCCTTAGATGGAAAGGAAAGAAGTCCTAAATAGCCAAAGCAATATTGAAAGAGAACAAAGTAGGAAGCCTCACACTTTCTGATCTCAAAACTTACTATACAGCCACAGTAATCAAAAATACCCTGCATCTGGTACAAGGACAGACACATTAACAAATAGAACAGAACTGAGAACCCAAAAGTAAAGTCATTCATCTCTGGACAGTTGATCTTTGACAAGGGGTGGGAGACCAGTCAATGGGACAGAGATTGTTTCTTTAAGAAATGGTGCTAACAAAATTGGATATCCATTTGTAGAAAAATGAAACAGGATCCATATCCCCAAAACACACAAAAATGAACTCAAAATGGATAAAGACCTAAATTGAAATTAAAACTATAAAGTTCCTGGAAAATAACATAGGAACAAAGCTCAAACCAAAAAAAACAAACTCACTGCCATTGAGTCAACCTAGCGACCCCCACTGGGTTTCCAAGGCAGTAAATCTTTACAGAAGTAGATTGCCCAGTCTTCCAAAGAGTGGATGGTGGGTTTGAACCGCCAACCTCCTGGTTAGCAGTCAAATGCCTTAGGCACTACGCCACCAGAGCTCCTAAGAGGGACAAAGCTAGGGACCATAATTTTGGCATTGCCAAACACAATTAAAATGCATAATCAACAGAAGACAAACTAGGTAACTGGAACTTCCTAAAATTTAAATTCTTATGCTCATCAAATGACTTTACCAAACGAGTAAAAAGAGAACCTATAGACTACGAAAATATTTTTGGTAATGACATATCTGACAAGGGTCTAATCCCTAAAATATATAGAAAATTTCAACCACAAAAAGACAAATAATCCAATCGAAAAATGTGCAAAGGACATGAACAGATACTTTACCAAAGAGGATATTCAGGTGGCTAACAAACACATGAAGAGATGCTAGTGATCATTAGCAATTCAAGAGATGCAAACCAAAACTACAATGAAATACCATCTCCCCTGTGCAAAAATAGCACTAAGGAGCTCTGGTAGCATAGTGCGTAAGGCACCTAACTGCTAACCAGAAGGCTGGCGGTTCAAATCCACCAGCCACTCCTCAGAAGGAAGATGGGGCAATCTACTTCTGTAGAGATACCACCTCTGAAACCCAAGGAGAGGTCGCTATGAGTTGGGTCCAACTTGACAGCACATAACCACAACAACAATCAAAAAAACAGAAAATAACAAATGTTGGAAAGGTTGTGGGGAGATTGGAACTCTTATACATTGTTAGTGGGATTGCAAAATGGTACCAAGACTATGGAAAATGGTATGGCACTTCCTCAAAAAGCTACAAAGAAAAATACCTTATGATTCAGCATTTTCACTCCTAGGTATATATGCTATTCATTGATTCGAATAGACATATGCATACCTGCGGTGCAGTAAATTACTTAGTGTGGCTTTTCTACTCATAAGTCTTTGTAAACTCCAAGGTGGGATTTGCTATGAGCAACTGAGGAGCTCCTGATTGCTAAAGCTGTCCACCTGGAGTATTTCTATTGGGAGTGGCACAAAACAATGTTCTGGGAGGTTCCCACTCTCTCTCAGGTGCTTAGAGTTCTGAAGCTATGATTGGCTAGTTTGACCACTCTGCCGGGCTCAAAAGGAGGCCTCCTAGAGGCAGAACTCTCTCTGACTGCTGGTTGAGGAAGGCGTGCTGCTGAAAGACAGGGGCGCTCCTGAGAGACACATGCTGCTGGGAAAGAGACACAAGAGACACACATTGCTGAATAAGACACTGAAGGACATGCACTGCTGGGGGAGAGACTGTGAGAGACTTGGCTGAGAGACGGTGGGCTGGGAGAGAGACTGAGCATTTTTTCCTGAACTTGAATTGTAGCCTGGTGCTTCCCTAATAAACCCCATAATCTGTGGGTTCTGCGTGACCACTGCAGCAAATTA